TGGAAATTGGCATAGATGTGTCAAATACATTGCATTTGTTTAGCCATGGACATTAACTCTTTAGTAGTTTCCATAAGTCCCTACAAGAAATAACAATTATGTTATCATAATAACATCACATTACTCAAGATATAAAATTAAAGCTAGATGAAGAGGTACCTTGTGTTGGTCTGACATGAAAGTGGTATCGGTGCCCTACCCTCAACTAAATCAAGATCATCCATCAAGTTATCAAGAAACCATTCCATTTGCTTTTTTTCTCCACATTCACCACAATAGGATATATCTTTTTATTCCCATCTCTTCCCATTGTATAAAGCAACTCACATTTGCATAACTCTTTGAGAAAGAGCCCATACAAACTGATAACCCTCCTACAAGCAGCTTTTCCATCCATCTATAAGAGCTTTGAAACAAATTTAGAACTTACTGAAATAGGTTGTACCATCAAGCATAATATCAACATTTATTTTCACTGTTGATCCAGGTTTTGATCTCCTGATTTCTTCACCATAACTCCGCAACATAGAGTAATTTTCCTTTAATGATCATTTTAACTCGACAAGTGCATGCTTCCTAGCCCTCCTACATTGGGACAAGCTCACTTTGGTGTTCAACTTCTTTGTGATCTTAGTCATCTTACCATTCGGTTCATTTATGGATAGATTCCTAGAAGTAAATAACTCTCTTTTTAAATGAGTCTATTTGGTGTTCAACTTCTTTGTGATCTTACCAAGGCATTTGTAAGTAAAGATGGTGCCAATATTGAATTGCCTAGAATAATGATGTGTGTAATTCAAAGATTTGATTTGGAATGCCTCTTCATTCTCACCATTCCAAGATTCCCAAAGTCTAAAGGTACATTGTTTCTCACTGTCCTTAACATATTTACCAAATCTCACTAACATCCTAGTATGCTCATTCTTTTGAAATCACGAAGGATAACCATTTGCAACAGCATAGATTTGTATGATAAACTTAAGTTGTTTAGGTGATTCCAAACGAACACCCAATATTGGTTTTTGTGATTTCCAATACGTGTTAGGATCAAAGATAGGATAATAAGTTTGGTCGTTAACTTCATTTTGAGTATCAAACTGGGAGTCATCAATATCCCCCTTTTCCTAGTTAGTAATCACTAGTTTACTCAAAAATTTGTCATTTATAGTGTTGTTTAAAAAAAGATTTACCTCAGTGCAAGAAGGGAATGTCATCACATGTGAGGGATTCCTCTTGCTCAGATTCCTCATCAGTTAGTGTTTGGACATTATCCTTAGCTTCTACTACAACTTCATCTTGAATCCAGTCAAATAATAGCTTATTAAACTGTTCTGCATAGACTCTCATCGTCCTCCCACTTCACATCCTGTAATCTACAAACCTTATGTGGTCCACTTCATCTTGAAGCTTCTTCAACCCCCTCTATTAATGTCTCACAAGGAAGAACATAATGCACAAAATCAAATTAATCTTTTATAACTTCCTTGAGTCTTGTAACAACCCAAAACTTCAAGGTAAAATTTTTAGTTTTCAATATAATTAAAACACTTTAATAACTTTGTTCAAGACATTGAAAAGCATTTCAAATAAAACAAATTTCAGAGTCTAATCCCGAAGATCACATATTGCGAAAACATGGGTGTATGCATTGAGATCGTCCTGAGCTCTTTCATTCAAAAACTGGAGTACCTGAAACAAAACTAAAAACCGTAAGCACAACACTCAGTGAGTTACCCAAATACTACATACCATACATATCGAACAATACATACATGACATACATAACCGCGAGCCATACATATCATTTATATATCATAATCAATAAATGTATTATGTATCGTGCATAGTCTTGCCATTATGCCACGAGCCACCTCATAGTCTTTTTTGTCAGGCCGAGGGCCACAACCCTAGGTCTTACAGACAAGTGCCAAGGGCCACCTCCTGGTCTTCCATGTAAAAATCACAAAGACAACTAACATACAAACTATACCACATAACTGATTTTTTGCCAAAGTTCAGACTCTGGTCTTGCATATAGTGTGTCAGGAGCCACCTCCTAGTCTTTCATACATAATTCCAAGGGCTAACCCCCCCCCCCCCTTGTGTCTTCCTACTATACGTAAACCAAATGGGCCAGCATTGGTGCCTTTAACCCATACAAATAGTGAGGAGACTCACCTCGAATGTTGAAGCTCGTTGCAGGAAATCCTTAATTGCTGCCTTGACAACTCCTCGAGCTAACAATACCAAAATATCACCCAATTAGCAATTGGGTCCCAAACCATGATCCATACTCCATACTTGGGGTAAAATGACCATTTTACCATTGGCCCAACAAGGTTCAAAACCATAAAATCCATGAAAGCCCACTAATGGCCCAATTTTCCAAATTGGACCCGATCCTATATGGGTCTTATCCTATGCCCATATTTCCTCGAATACAATTCAGGTTACCTCAAACACCCCTTGGGACAAACTTGGTCAAAAGCATAAGTCAAAAGTCAAAGTCAGCGCTCCGAGTTGACTCAACTCACTAAGTTGTTCCTCAACTCGTCGAGTTCCCCCATTAATCACCAAAATCGCGAAAAGTCGGTCCAACTCGTCGAGTTCGCCCCAAACTCGCCGAGTTTCCTCTTTAGACAGCAGAATCGGGAAAAATGATTCCAACTCGCCGAGTTCACCCATGAACTCATCGAGTTCCTCATTCAGAAAAACCTCTAAACCCATTAAGTCACCAATCTCGAAACTAAAGGCTCCACCACTCAGATTTTAATCTGAAATATCATCTGGAAGGGTGAAGTTTCCAACTTTACCCTTAAGAACCATTCTAATAGGTCAAAAACCCAAACCCTAAGCTTACGAGGTTTAGGGCTTACTTAATAATCACCAAATCGTCAAAACAAAGCTCGTGGATGCAGATCTGGACCTTAAAGGCTGAAAGGTCATGTAAAGTTTCCAACTTTACTCTCATGCAAGGCTAGAAGAAGCTCAAAAGCTTAAAAAAGGCCAAAAGAAAGGCTTAATAGATTCATGGAGCCCTTAAGACCATAAAGTTAATTAGCACGTTTATGCCACAAGAGCTCCCAAGAACCATGGATCTGAAAGAATAACTTCATTGGAATGACCAACACCCCATCAACCACTCTATTTGGACCAAAACATCCAAAAGGACCCTAAGAAGGAGATCTATGAATTCACAAAGCAAGGTTGAGACTTTTTACCAGAAAAGTGTCGAAAATGAAGCAAGGATTTGAGATCTAGCAGCTCCTTCTTGTATCACCAACTCTCACCAAGCTTTCCTTCATTCCAATGACTTCAAACACACCACCAAAGCACATAAAATGCTCACAACACTCAAAAATGCCTTAGGGTTTCGATGTTAGGGTTTAGGACAATGGTGGCTGGAAATGAGGGCAACATATTGGGTTTAACTTGTTTAAATATGGTGCAAAACCCCGAAATTAGGGTTTCCCATACCACATCCAACTTGTCGAGTTGGTCCTCTCCAACTCGTCGAGTTGATTCTCAAAAACGCGTGTGCCCAAGACTTCCAACACGTTGAGTTTCCTTCCATAAACTCGACGAGCTGGCCTTTAGCAATGACGATTTATTTCCATAATTACCTTCTAGATTTTGGGTGTTACAAGTCTATACTTGAATTTGTCGTACATAAGAAAGACATAGTCTAATTGTGGTGATGTCTCTTTGTCTCCATTTTCGTAACTCGGAGGATTTTTGATGAATACACCATGGTAGTTTATCTTAATAGAGAAGTCGCGGCTACCTTTTGCCTCGGTAGTCAATTATTCATCACTATTGGGTTTTCATCATTTCTTATTTTTGGAATGGGATGTTTTGAGGGAGAAGATATGATGTTTGCAAGTAAAGAAGACAGAGAACGGCGGTAATTTTGATTTGACATGTTTTTGGTTATCGACATTCAAAACGAGTTCGTTAAACCTAACATTGTCGTCATAACGTCAATAATTGAGATCCTCCTAGCCACGTTGGATGCCATGTAGGCAGTGATACTGGGAAATTGGCTTCACTAGGTCGCAAGGACCAAATCGTGCCAAAAATGAGACTTTGGAATCCAATTTAGCGTGATCAGATCTTCAGTGGCTAAATCGAGTCAATTTTTATACTTTGATGATCAAATAAGTTAAAACTCCTAGGTAAATTTGTATAGTTAGTGGAATGTTGATATGTCAATACATTACACTTTTAAAAGTTCAATATGAAGATGGTCTTAAAACCAATGTCTTTTCTATTTATGTTCACTCAAACCAACTTTCATTTTCTTAAACCAATATTCATATGCCTCCTTATATTTATCTTAACCAACAAACCCTTTCTTTAAACATATATCCATCCTTACCAAATATAAATCAGGAAGCAATGAAAACTCAAAAATCTTTCTAGAAACGGCAATCCTTCTAAGCATATTAGCATTATATATACTCCTTAAAAATGAACGAAATTCCTTTTTCTTGTGGCTCTCAAAGACAACAAAATCCTTTGAACAAAATGATATAGGGATAAAGAATTGGAAACCAAGATCATGTAGGGGTGGATCTTGTTTTTGATGTAGGGACGAAAAAAACACAAGAAACAAAAGAACAAATTTCCAGGTTCATTCAAAGAACATGCAACATTTTCGTCTTCTCCTGCAAGCATAGGGGCGTTAAGGGGAGGCAAAGTGAACAGTTATATAAGGTCCAATTTTATTCAGTATATATTTTTATTTAAAAATAAATAATTATAATAAGATAAGGGTTATTTTTTTTCTGTTCGTCATAAGCTTTTGAGAATATTTAATTTCTCATGACCGGCCCTACCTGGAAGGAAGTTGACTTGAGATTGATTTGGGGTTTTTTCTCAATACATGAACATATTTGCATGAATCTTTGAAAAGCAATTTACTTCAAAAAGAAAAGTTGAACGCTTACTCAAGCTTCTACGACTAAGTATTTTCATAGCTAAAGGCGAATATCAAATTACTGCGATCGATTAATTAAAACAACACATTTTATTACATATAACGAACATATATCCAATAAACATAATACAAACAGGTAGCACAACATCCACAATTAATTATTAAGTTTCACCCATATTGGTGAGATACATATTTTGCTTTAATTTATTTAATTCTGAAGATGGTGAGTCTCTATGTCTTTGGTGACTTTCTTGTAAAACTCCATTAGCGTATCTAGATCAGGAGCATTAGGGTCCAACTTCTCATACTCCACAGTCCATGTGACAATGCTGTCTGGACCATGGTTGTCTACTTGAACATGCGCAACAAAGGTCTTATAGAATTCCATGAGATCACCTTCAAGTCCCTTGAAGGTGACAGAGTTTTTCCCCTCATCGATGTCCTGGGTTATCGTCTTTATAACACACTCTTTTCCATCTGCAACAACATATATATCATCCAAAACGTTGATTTCATGCATGCAAGTGGATTTATATGGAAAAAGAAATATTAAGTGTATACGGTTTTACTATAGACTACATTAATTTTTCTAGTTGACAATGATCATAATGAAAGATGTTAAATATTGCATAATTGTGTGGTTTACCATGAAAATAGTTCCATAATAGAATACAGCCCACATTTCCAGCATCTCCTTCATTGATTTGACATTTGTGGATGTTAGTCGGTGTCAAGCTGGGAACTTGTTGGGGGTTTGATTTCCACAACTTGTGAAAAGCATTACCGTTTGACTTAATATAAATCTGAACTGATCTCGTACTCGGTGCCATATCTCTCTAGAACAATGAGAATGACTCGCTCGTATCATTTCTATTTTTTATATATGTCCTTCCTTAATTCATCGCTACCTAATTATGAGTAGATTCTGTAATTAACACATGTTATACACTCAAAAGAATTAAAAACTATTGTTTCATCATGTGATTCATGTCTAATTGAATATGCATGTCTTAGTGGCCATGCATGTTTTTATTAATTAAAAAATCAGAGAGAAAACAAATTAACAGTTAAGTGGTGTATCTTATCGTTTGATTTATACACGAAATTAATAGTTTATTAATTGATACATTATTAATTACTTACTCTTTTATGGTATTATCTAGCAACGCCTATTCCTTTTCTTCTCTTCATAATATATACGTACTTGATATTTTGAAATAAGCAATTGATAATGCACATATTTATACTAATTCTTAATGCACATATTTATATTAATTCTATAATTAAGAATTATGTATGTGGTGTATATATGAAACGATCAATAACAAAGAATTGGGAATTTGGGGTCGACTTTGATTTTTAAAAATAATTTATGCATATTTTTATGAGCGAACATAAAACATTTATAGTTTACCAAAAATTGTAGATTTTTGTTTTTAACAGATTAGAAGATTAGAAGGACTATAAAAATTTACAAAACTTAGTTTTGCAATCAAACAACTCAACTAACTTTCTGAAATTACCCAAATCAACTAAAGGAAAGAGACATTATATTATCAAACAAATGCTATTTCCTAATATGCCTAAATTCATATGTAAATGACTAATAGTACACAGTTGCAACTGAACTAATGAGATATTGCATAATTTTTGTAAACGATATCATATTACATTCTTAATGTAACAAGTAAATTAGATATACTTCAGCTTCACAATATCCCAAAGAGCTTAAACTTTAGGAATATATATATATATATATATATATATATATATATATATATATATATATATATATATATATATATATATTAATTTAGTTCCACATGTCAATATTATATCGTCATGTTCACATTATGAATGTTAATGAGTCAATCGAGTACACTTCCAATTAAAATTACAAATCCCAAACGAGGTGATTTTTTGAAAAAAGAAAACAAATGTGTTTATATAGTGAATTGGTATCTTTTTATAGTAGACAAAATTATGAGTTTTGATATATTCATGTAACACTCAGCCAATCAGGTAATTCTTTTTTGCTTCAAAGTATGAAAGTATTGCAAAAATGGTCCTTACGCCTTGTGTACGTAGGATGTAAGCTCTTAATGTTGGACGCAAATGCATGAGAGTATGTGGGGCATACTCATGGGTATGCAGGGCGTCCTCATCAAATGAGCAAACCCAAAATTTTAGGGTTAGAGCCCTATATAATGTCATTATCTGCCTTAAGACCCTCCCACCTTCAGCCTCCATTCTTCCATCTGATCCTTTGCAAACCCTAATCTCCATTTGAGAGTTTTTGAGTGGTTTTGAGTGTTTTGTGTTCATCCTTTAGGAAGGAATCCATTGGAGAGCATTTGAGGATCATCAAGCTTTGTGGATCTGTAACTTTCATCCCTCTAGCAACCTCCAGAAGGTATAAAGTTCTGAACTTGATGAATACTTCATTAGATATTGCTAGTTCTTGAGCTTTTGTGCCTTTTAGTCCCATAATCTTAGTATATATGAGTTTGGATTACTCTAGACCAAATGGGCTTTTCTTTCAGATGTTTTTGAGTGTTTTTGGTCATAAAAATATGATTCTTGGTCCCTTTCCCCCATCCATGCAAGAGTTATGAAGCTTAGGTTTCGGGTAGAAAGTTAGAGTTTGGATTTTGAGCACTTTTAGTAATGCAAAGTCATAAAGTTGGAAAGTTTATGATTTGGGAGGTTATTTAGGACTAGATCTAAGTTATAGACGTGAGGACTTAATGGAATAAGCACTTTTTAAGGGGAGAGAGAGAGAGAGAGTTGGTCGAGTATGTAGGGCATACAGTGGTACGTAGTGCATACTAGATGAAGGCCATGTAACAAAGAAAGGACTTCACTACGCCATACGTAGTGATTGAGTATGCAGGGCGTACTCAACATGTGTTGACTCTTGGACTTTTTACTTTGACCTTTGACCATGGATTTGACCAAGTTTGCTTTAAGGGCATTTTGGGTCATTTGAATAGTAGTTTGAGATTAGGTCCATGTTTATTGTATAGGTGACCGATAGAGAAAACATTTAGAACAGTGATCTATTCAGCTATTTTTCAGACTGTGAGATGGGTTTTCCTCATTGCCCTTGTGTGTTGAAGGTACCAATGTCGGCCTACTAGACAATGTCTCCTAGGATAGGATGTTGCTATGATGTAGTGATTTGTTATATCTGAATGATTATCTATTTGTTGTTATGTGTTTTATCTGTTGCATATATCCACGTAACGTGGTTGGGCTGAGGCAATATTGCTTTGTACAAAACTAACAAACTTGGGAGCAAGCCATACATAATTTGTGGGCCAAAAACGCAAGCTAGACTTATATTGTGGGCTCAGGAGCAATCCAGACATGAGTTGTGGGCCAGGTGGGCAAACCAAACATATGTTGTGGGCTTAGGGGTAATCCAGTCCAATGGATATGGATGCAGTATACATGTTGTTATATGTTGTATGCATGGTTGTAGAACTCGTTAATCGGTACCTACCCGGCCGACTACCGAGTAGCAAGTACTCAGGAGTACTCGGGAGTACTTAGGGAGTACTCGGATTTGATAATTCATGTAGAAATATTTTTAGGGAACTTATATATGTCAAAATTATAAGTTAAAAACTTAAATTGATTGAAATATATAACAAAATTAGATACATGTGAATACACAAAAACTGAAAAACACATAATGATCTCACTTCATGAATAATTACTGAAAATTTAAGATATATATATATATATATATATATATATATATATATATATATATATATATATATATATATATATAGTAATAATCACATTTGTGTGTGTGTGTGTGTTAAATAATAAATCATTAGGTATATTATACATATTAAATCATAGAGTTGACCGAGTTTGACAATACTGCTCAGTTCAGTAAGGCACCGATCGGGGAGTACTCGAGATTCTGTAACTCGCCTCGGTAAGGGGCCGAGTAGCGAGTACTCGGAGGAGTAATCGGCTAAATCGGCGAGTTTTACAACACTGGTTGTATGGTGGTGGTTTGGGGGAATTCACTAACTTTGGCTTACATTTTGATTTTTATGGTTTCAGGTACTTCAGAGGACAGGGGGAATTGAATGCTTGATCATGCACATCATCTAGGATTTTATGTGTTTTGATGATTTGGGATACTCTGATTCATGATTATGGTTTTTGGGAATTTTTTTTTGTAAAGCTTATGGATTTTGTGATGGTTTTAAAATGAAAATTTTTCCTTGATTTTTGGGATGTTACAAGTTGGTATCAGAGCCTTGGTTAGAGGATTGGATGAACATTCGTGTAAATCCATACTCAAACTAAGGACCTACAAAAGTTTCCAAATGATTTTCAAAACTATTTTCAAAAATAACCAAGGAGGGATGAGATGTGTACTATCAGCCGGAGTAAGAAAGTAATCCCCAAGATACCCACACTGTTAATTGCTTATGTTGATTATGATAGAATTGCATGCTAGTTGTAGGCTAGGGATCTTCAGAAATTGCATGATAGAATTGCCTAAAGTATGATGCATGATAGCCTAAGAGATTTTCTTGTATTCTAGATGGAATTGACACCATTACTGTAATTGCTTAGTGTATGCACCATAATGGTACATAACTAAGATTTAATAGCCCGAGAATGTTGGTTTAGCCTTATTTCATGTTCCTTGTTTTGTTGTGGGCTCAGGGTAGAATCAAGTATTCGACTGTCTATGGAATACATCGTTATGTATGATTAGCATCCACAGGTGACTGCAAGGTTGGTGGAAATTCCATGAGTGAGTGTAGTTTATAGTAGGCCATCATGAGGAAGGATTATCCACTCCTGGGAAATGTATAAGATGTATGTGTATCCTATATATGGATCTTGCGATCAGGTGTTCTTTCACGACCCATTTATACGAATACAGGTAGGTGTGGAAGGTAGTATGGGCTCGTACTACTGGAAGAACATGACCCGTACGCATAGCAAGGAAGTCATGAACCCCAAGGCTCTAGTATTTCTATAATGATTGTAATAGTATGAATTGTGACTTTTCTCATGCATTTTGGTTCATTTTTAGTATGGTGTACAAGAGAGGTTCTAGACCAGGAGCAGGCGGCCCGGTGAGGCCAAGATTGACGGATGATGAGATTCGGGATTTGATCTCCACTGAGGTGACTACGGTTGTTCAGGGTGATATCTCGGAGGTTTTTAGGTCTATTAAGACCACGATGATTGACTTGTTCGATGAGTAGTATGTCGCTGTGATTGAGGTTGTTGTTGTTGCAGCTACTGCAGCTGTTGTTGTTGTTGTGGGGGTTTAGGGGAGAGGTTCATTCCAGTACCAGGACTTCAGCAACATGAAGCCCCCAGAGTTCGATGTGGTCAAGTACCGATCATGGTTATGAGATGGATTTCTAATGTGGAAGGTTACTTTTTCACTTGTTCCTGCCTTGAGGACTGGAAGGTCAGGTGTGCTCTTAACCTTCTTTGTCCGGGTGCGAAGGATTAGAGGAACCTGGTGACTAGTTCTTATACTCCTGAGCAGAGGGTTGCTGTTACTTGGGGGCAGATCTTAGAGATGATTCGAGCGGAGTATGTTCCCCTGGTATAGAGAGAGAGAGACAGAGAGAGAGGTTGGTTCAGGAGTATTTACCGTTGAGGTTGATGACAGAGTCATTAATGGAGATCACCAAGACGTTTACTGAAGCTCTTTTCTGTCCTGGGTATTCTGCTTCAGGTCAGGCTCGGATATCACGATACTTGAGCATGCTCAAGACTAAGATTCGACATTTTGTGACTACCTAACGATATAGTACCCTCTTCGACTTCAGGATGGTGTGCGGAGATGGGAGATTGAGATTGAG